TTGTCAAACCCTCGGTTACATCCATAACTCTTTTCCATAAGAATCGCCAGGCAACTCTCACGGCGCTAACCCAATCCTACTCGCCCTAACCCGGATCGAGCCAGAGAAGTATTAGCACTCCAGACCCCGTGTAACAGTAGGTCTTAATTAGTAGTAGTACTCTTTCTAGCTTAACGGATAGGTTAGCTACTTTTAATCTAGATAGTATTAGAGTTATTAGGTAATAGGTCTAGCTATAGCGGTCGCCTATAGTAGTATTTATTTTACTTAATAGTGTTTCTTACGCGCCTCTTTAGTAATGCTGGTAGCTTAGTTGGCAGGGATGTCGCTTCGCGGTCGCGGTCGCGGTCGCGTTCCGGGGTCGAGATTGTCATCTCTCCCACGCGTCTAGATCGCAAACTCCTGGGCATATACAGTAGCGTCCTGTTATACTACACTTACAGAGTCCGCCTATGATTGTTTTTCGCCTGTCCTCACATACTAGCGTGGAATACTTGGTCTTGGCGTGAAGCCAATCACGTGATCTTCGCCCCGCGATAATCATTACCTTCTGACGTGGACGTCCATAGGCCTTCAGCCATCTCGTCACTTGTCAAGGAGAGAATCCTTCTTGTTACTTGTAACACTAAGGTGCTAGCTAATTATTCTTAATTATAATTATAGGCTATATTAAAGTTATCTATAGTTACCCTTACCGCCGTTCTGTGATTCATATCCCCCTTACCATACCTCTACCTATTTACTACCGTAATATCGTTATTTGGTAATCAGAGAATCCTTCTTTTCATTTGTAATAATTGGCTAGCATATCTTATATACAATCTAGGTCTCATTATAGGGATTTAGCTATGCAAATTTTGTTCATTCCTACTCGCTATAAACGTGGTGGTCCGTGAGCATATTAGCTAGGTTAGATATTGCCCCAAAGAAAGAGCTATGTGGCAACTCAATACTGACTCTGGCAAAAAGAGAAACAGAAATGCTTAGTAAAGTTTGATTCTCCCTCTGAGATTCCTGATCTGACACCATGAGAATCTCTAGTCCTAAAAAGCATAAAGCAAGAATGTGCATAAATAAATGGTTACTATTGCACGATAAGTTAGTATGAGTATAGTACAAGAAACAAAATTTTGTGTGTTACGTACCAGTTTTGGAAAACGTCTTCCAATGATAACGTGCTAGAGGATAAAATTATCGCCTTAATAGACGACCTGAGCGATCCTATGCGTTGTCCAGGTCCTAAAGGCAATGATGGTTCGGGGCCCCGTGGATATACACTTGCCAATTGGAACTGGGCTTCGTAATAGTAATAGGACACCTGGAGTTTGAGGCGCGAAGCATCGCTAGTGTCTAGTAAGAGCATCATCTGGTTTGTTTCAGCTAACCTATACCATTCATCTAGCTTTGCTGACAATGCCAGGGCTATATCCAGGCGGTCTTTGGACGGCTCTCCGTCGGCGCCTATGCGGAGCTGAAGGATCTTCGAGCAGATTCTAGAGTACTGCAACCGGACTAACAGCCATCGTAAGGATGTCACAGTCGAATCATCGCTCTGCAGCGTCTTGTTGGAAATTTCCAAGGCTGGAAGAGAAGCGCTATCAACTAACTATTTGCCTTTCGTCAGCCTTGGCTTAAGTTGGCCACAAGAGGAGAGCCTACAGAGAAGGTATTCCACCTCAATGCATAAGACTTGTCAATGCAGTAGAGCATCCACATAGCTCGCTTACTCTGAATAACCTGCTCATCACTAACGCAAGAACTGTGAAGAGCAGATTCTAGATGGAGGCCCAATGATGCTACGGTCGAAACACTAGCTAGTGTAACCGCAGGTAAATTTTCTGACCCTACTCTCTCAAAAAGACAGAGCTAGATATGTCAGCTAATTACTTTGCTATAGATAGTATGATCTCTACGAACTATAGTAACAAGCGCCTAGCTCGAATTAGCAAAAAGATCTTCGTCTTATGGCAGACAAACCTACGACGAGTTGGCGGACACTACTATTTTGTTGTTGTAGTAGCGTTGAAATTTCTAGCACAGCATCTAGTAGCGCTGATTTGGTACCAAGAGCTACTTCCGAATCTAATAAAGCTCCCCAGGCTAGCGAAGTCAACAGTAAAGACATATCGCTAACATCTATAGAGGGTCGCTCTGGATCAAAAAGTCTCTCTTGTATAGGCATAATATCTTGTTCATTAATAAAGAGACTTAAACTGCCTAGTACTTAAGCTTACATAGTGTACTTACTGTTCAATCTACTTACCTTCCTATGTCCTGGAATGCTTCTTATACACTATTAGCATGCTTCTTATTAATAATATTATGATCGTACTTTGGATAAGCCTCTTTATGGGGAGGGTATTCAGGTTCAAGCCCTGATGTTCTTCGCTGAAATGAGTGTTGTGCAAGAGATTGGAAATGCAAGTATGGTTCTCTGAAGAGAGCAGTGCTTTGATTTTGGCCAGCACTGCCTGTTTTCTATGGCTCATCTGATCTGTGTATCTGAAAAGGGCAGTTATGCCGTGGATTCTGTGATTTAGGAACGGTTTTGCCTTTGTAATGTTAACAGATAAACACTTCGTAGGGGGAGGGGATTGCGTACCACTCCTGTTTCAGCTGATATTCGTTGTGAGAGTAATGCAAGCGTACAATCAGCAATAGTACTGTCCAGTCTCGTTTGTAGGGAGTCAGGGCGTTGCGTGACGATGTGGTAGTCCAGATTTTGGTCACTGTTTGATGCAAGCCACTCTAGCGTGAGAGTATCGTTTATGAGGGTGTGAGTCTGCATCTGGTCCTGGAAACTTTGTATCTGTTCGCCTAGCTCTATTCCCGAGTCAGCTTTTTGTTACGTTAGAGAAGGAACAATCTGTTGCACAGAAAGAGTGGTGAACTGATCCTTCTATGTTTAATTGTCAGGAGTAAAGAGATGATAATGTATATACCTGTGGGTTCAGCTTGGCTAATGTCCGGGGTCATTTCCTCCAGGAGAGGAAGATTTTGAGAAGAGTACCAGGTGTCTCCTACTAACTGCGAGAAATACCCCTCACTAGCTGGTGTAGGCAAAGAATATCCTAAAATCCCCGTAGCCTGGCTGATAACATTATCTGTGGAAGAATCTAGACCTAATGGATTATACATCGTATCACTACTGGAAACGTACAGTTGTCCAGCTGTAGAGGTATTCTCCCCAGGACTCTGGATATCAGTCCCTTGTGCTCGATGTCGTAGGGGACGTATTTTATATTCACATTGGGTTTCGCTGCGCTGGTACGATATTACCAATTGATCTTGGAGTGGGAAATAAGGTCTTTGTATACACTGCAGTAGTTGCACGGATTCGCTCCATCGCCTATGCGTTTCAGCATCTGTGTAGAACATCAGGGAATAGCCCTACATCGACCCTTTCTCTGACGGCATGCTTCACATGCACCTCTTCGCCGAGTCAACTTAGCGTATGGAGGACTCATTTCTTGAGATAAATTATGGACGTTCAAGAAAAAGAGGGAGGTAGGGAATCACCGATTAAGAGTACGATCTAATGATCTTCTCGATTCTTTGGTAGTACCTTTGGCATCGAATCTTTGATATTTATAATCTCTCAGTAGTGTCTCATCTTATTAATCAATACGCGCATCCCGACTAAAATTATAGTATCACAGTCGCCTGTTACCAGCAAGCTAAGTTGGGACAACCATGTCCCGGAATCCTCGGATGCACACACCAAAAACTCGACCGGCCCTCTATCAGGGTATCCCTGATCCCCGCGAAGCTGTCGATCGAAGTGGATCTAGAACACTACATGATTTATATCTTACCTGTGGACTACAGGGATCTTTTTGGAGTCAACAAAACCATCTTGATGTTTGCTACTGCTGCTTTGAAGTTTGCGTTACGAAAGAGGCTAACCTCAACGAGATTAGTACTACCGATGCTCGTTTCTGCATAGTGGAAAGGCCGCCATGCCGACAATCATCAACCAGATCTCTAGAATGATGAGCTATTACGTAACCCTGGCAATACAGGTCCCTTGAGGCATGGATTTTCCGCTAAACAACGACTGATCTGAGCGGATATATGTAGGTACATACTGTATTAAAGGATGGCCTGCCTCTACAAGTACGTCTTAGACCAACCAGAACCCAACAGCAAGACACGCATTTGAAAGATCAATGTGAAGCCCTATGTTTGCTGGCACAACACTCAGTGCGGAGTTCGACCGAGGCTCATACGCAATCTATGACAAGATCGTCAGCTCTAACCAAGGCAGCAGCAGGTGGCGACACGGCAATCACTCGCTTTTGGCGTCCATGCAAAGACGAGAAGGCTTTGCTGAAGCAGACACAAGTAAAAACTCTTACTCTCGATGTTCGATTTACACTTACCACTAGCTCAGAAGACTCTAAAATCATGGTAAGTTTTCTCCTCGAACCCCTGACTCTTATTTAAATGGCAAATCTAATGAGATAGACTCATCAAGACGCGGCTCTCTTAGCCCATGGTCTTATTGGTATAGAAGCCAGCACTTACCGTTGCAACGTTACATATTGATACGCATCGTATCCTCTTGTTATATCTAAATCGGCTCTACAACTTCAGCCATGACTGCCCGCAATATACTAGTGGCCTTAGTTCTGGTTATGATCTTGTGGTAGAACTGTACCGAATTCATGGGCACAGAAGCTAGTCGAGATGTCGCTTCAGCCCGCCTTGCCTTGCATTATGATGTCAAGTAAGAGCCAGATAGCCAGAAACAGGTGCATCTCAAGGGCACCAAACCGGTAGCACGATTCACTTGTAAGTTATTTCGAGGAGACGGATTTTTTGTCTTCCACTATGGGACTTCCGCATGGCACCCACCCAGTTCTGACTTAGTGCCCAAACGGCATCTGCACACACGCCTGAGCGGCCATTTAGTGGCCGAGTGCCGAGAACAGCCAAATGCCGAACATGGCCGAGTGCCGAGAACGGCCGTATTACGGATACCAAGCTATCAAAAATGTGTATTTGCCCGAGAGTGACCTGCTAGATTTTTAGTCTAGTCACAAAAGCAAGGTATTATATGCCCTCCTGGATCTTCGAGAGAAGGGGCAGGCACACATGCGATAGGATTATAACCTACTAACAAGATATCTATCAACGGTGTGAAATCAAAGGATAAGTCCTAGAAGTACAAAGAGATATCCCCTGGTTCACGAGTAGACAAGCTCAACGGTCGACTAAGCAGACAATAATCAGCTCGGAGTAAGCCAATTACGGACCCGTTATGCCGCCAAAGCTGAGATTCTCTCTGCTCAGGCAGCGCAGAACCGGCCGGCCATCTTGGAGAATGTCGTGTCAAAACGTCTGCGAACGTTGGACTCTTACTGGCTAGTTCATTCTCACTAGGATTCCTATTACATGATGAGAGAAATAACACCCGTGTAGTAGCCTAGTCCACTACATAGCTTCTAAGGAACTATTGAAGCCTATTCCTGTGTAACAGAAAACTCTGTATACTAAAGAAACCAATAAGATTATAACGGTCGTATAGAAGGCTGTATACTATATCATTTGATTAGCGATTTTTAGTATGCAAGACTTTTCGTTACACAAGGAAGCACCTGACGGAACTAGAACCTAGTTGCGAAACGAAACTTCGCTGAATGTTTCGCTGTGCCGTTTTCTATTCTAGCTCAGAATGACTTAGCTGCGGAGCTAGCTACCGGGTAACACACTAATGGCCTGACAGTCACGGCCCGATGACCACGGTCCGATAGGAAAGGGATAAAACTAGTGTCGGGCGGAGGGTCCAGACTTAATAGAGTGCTTTGCTAAGGGCAACCCTGGATATACAGAGGTGGCTCTTAAAAGTGATTACTAATAGCAGTAAATTGTCTTAGTACCGAAATACCACCAAGGCTTATTCCGATCTATCTGTTACGCGGGGGTGGGTGCTGATACTTCCCTGAGCTCGATCCGGGCTAGGGCAAGTAGGATAACGTGAACAGCATGTCGAAAAACCATGTGTGCCGAGAATACCTAATTTGATTCTACGGATTATAGACTTTTGTCTAGCCGTTGTGATCCTATTGGTTATTTTTGGCATCTAGGGGTTTTCAACATATAGTGATAGATAGTAGTAAGAAAGTATAACTTAGGTTAACTGTAACGAGAGTAATAACCAAATGAATCTATCCTATCTATGTTCCCTGACGGAATAAGGGTTAAAATCGACCCTTATTCTGTTAGGGTTACTAAATTTACCAACACTTATTCTAGTCACTAAGATCGTGTATAGAATAAGCCTCTAAATATAGTTAAATCTAGCTATATTTTATATATATAGTATAACAAAATCGTATAAATCTAGCGTACTGATAATAATAATTATATAATATATATATATAGTAATTAATAAAATAAGAGATATTATAGTATTAGGGTTTGTGGCTATAGCTCGTGCGCGCTTAGAAAGGCGCTTAGGGTTTAACCCTAAGTTAACCCTAAATCTTAGGGTTTTGAGCTAAGCGGGACGATATAGGAGTGCTAGGATTATAGTTAACTAAATAACTAACCCTAGCTATAAATATAGAATAAGTAAATAATATTAATAGTATATAGTAAGTATATACTCTATACACTTAAGTTAAAACTATATAGCATAACTATTATAGATATATTTTATTCTATATTTAAATACTTACTAGCGTATNNNATTACTATATATAGAAGCTATTAATAGAGAATTATAAGGTTACAGCTACTAATCTATTTAAAAATAAAGTACTAGGAACTAGTACCTAATATATAGTAAAAAATTATTAAGGTTATAGATAAAGATAAGTTACTATATAACTAGGCTAACTATATACATAACGTTATATTTCTCTATTAAGACGCTACGCTACTAATCTATTTATCTATATATAGACGGCTTAAAGTGTAAAGAAAACGTACGTATATATATCTATATTAAGAGTATATAGTAGTATTACTACTAGAAATATAGCTAGTAGAGTACCTACTAACGCACTAAGGGCTATCTACTAGCTAAATAAGATATATAGACTACTATATTATACTAGAAGTTCTATAATATTAGTATACTAGAATAATTATTCTAGGTTAGTAGTAATATATCTATTAAGCCTATTTAAGATATAGACTTAGTAATAGTCGCTAATATAGCTATAACTATAGCCTAGGTAAGTTAAGCGTTATAGAAAGCAGATAAAAAGCCTAGCACTGTCTAGGACGATAAGAGTTAGTAGTTATATAAAAAATAGATAAAATAGATAGGCTAGTTATAGTACTTAAAAGGCTTAGACTATNACTAGCTACTTAATATAGTATAAAAGCTAATAAGCGAAGAGCGAGCGTTACGTAATGTATACTAGGTAGTAGAAATAGTAATTTAGAAGGCATAGTAGGCTTCGTATTTAACTATTATTAGTATACCTACTATAATACTTATTATAAAGAGCTGCGTCTATAAGCTCTACTAAAGGTATCACGTGATCCTTAACCACGTGATATACCTTCTATATAGATATATAATTAGAAGTAAGTAGGTATAATAGAAGTTTATACTTAGTTATCTTCTCTTTTTCTTATCTTTTAACTTCTATACAGTAGATAGAAGTATACTTATTTACTTAGTCTCTTTACTTATAATATAAGCTAAAAGAATACTTTAACTCTTTTTACTCTTTTCTTTTATATAAAGTAAACGAGAATTAAGAATATAAAATTAATAAGATATAATAATAGAACTATATAAGACTATACAAAATCTAGAACTTAGTAATACTTTACTAAGGCCTCTAACGTATAATTACGGTAGTAAATAGATAGAAGTAGGTGTTAGGTTAGGTTGCCAAGAGTTAGGCTAGGTTAGGTTAGGTAATAATTATGTAAGACTTAACGTCTACCTCTACCTAACTCTTGGCAACCTAACCTCTACCTCTACCTAACTCTTAGCAACCTCTACCTCTATCTCTAACTAAATAAAATACTAAAAGTTAGATATAGATAGATATTAGGTCTTATATAATTAGTATATTTTTCTCTATTTTCTATTTTTTAAATTTCTATTTTTATTACATTTATTTATTATAAATTAATAAAGATAATTATAAAATAGAAAAA